ATGTGTGTGTGTGTGTGTGTGTGTGTGTGTGTATACAAGTTGCAATTTTTTCCGCAAAGTTTAAGTAGCCATGTTCTAGGATTTACAACAACCTGTTTCCCTCTTGTCTGGACAAAGACCCTTTCATTTTTGCCCAAGTAAGGTGTCCATAAACACGCTGTCTACGTTGGGAGCTGTTTCAGCGTTTTCGGCCCCTCTGTACTGTGACAATAAAACCCACAAAACCTCGTTTGTTCCCAGAAAGATGACATGCTTTTTTTTCTGACCCCGTTATTCTTAGTGTTAAGAGAGACATTTAGTTCACGAATACACGATCAGCTCTTCAAGAAAATAGTTTAATCAAACTAATCTTTATGGTGATGCCTATTAGGAGACAAAAGAAGGTCGGCTTTCTCCATCTTTTACACAAACTTTGTCAAAATGTTTAGGTGGACGTAGTGATGAAGTGGGATCGAGCCTCAGTTTCGTCCCACGTTGTGTCCTTGGGAAAGGCACCTTACACGAATTTTCCTAATTAGTTTTGTCTTATCGAAGATGGACTTTAAAGTCGGAGGTCAAGACTATTAAATAACCATACACATTAGCAACGGCGTCAGATCTATACAGCTTCACATTTTTTTCAGCAAAAATATACCGATAAAGTACACATGTTCCAGGATAATATACTACAACCAGTTTCTCATAGACATACATTCCAAAGAGAATCTTACATCTCCTAATACCGGGTGCGGATTGCGGACGGGATCGGGTCGCGTCGGGTCGGGTCGGGTCGGGTCGATCGCCCGACTAGTCTCCTGTTTCAGCGTTTTCAACCTCTCTGTATTGTAGTAATTTAAAAAACCTACAAAACATAAGTTGTTCCCAGAAGGTGACACACTTTTTTCTGACCCCATTATTCTCAGTGTTGAGAGAGACATTTAGTTCACGAATACACGATCAGCTCTTCAAGAAAATAGTTTAATTAAACTAATCTTTATGGTGATGCCTAATAGGAGACAAAAGAAGGTCGGCTTTCTCCATCTTTTACGCAAACTTTATTCTTATCCACTTAACGTGGGCAAGTAATACATTTTGGTTCGAAGCTCAGCTTGGCCCAACGTTGTGTCTTTGATAAAGACACTTTACACGAATTTTCTTATCGGAAATGGACATTAAAGTCGGAGACCCCGACTATAAAACAACCTTACAGTGTCGCAAGGGCGTCATATATACACGTTGCAATTTTTTCCGCCAAGTTTAAGTACCATTGTTCTAGGATTTACTACAACCTGTTTTCCTCTTGTCTGGACAAAGACCCTTTCATTTTTTCCTTAGTAACGTGTCCACAAACACGCGGTCTACTTTTTGAGCTGTTTCAGCTTTCTCGGCCCTCTGTACTGTAGTAATAAAACCCACAGAACCTCGTTTGTTTCCAGAAAGGTGACGCGCAATTTTCTGACACTATTATTTTCAGCCGTGTGAGAGAGAGAGAGAGAGAGAGAGAGAGAGAGAGAGAGAGAGAGAGAGAGAGAGAAAGGGAGAGAGAGAGAGTGAGAGAGAGAGTGAGAGAGAGAGAGGGAAACAGAGAGAGAGAGGAAGAGAGAGAGTGAGAGAGAGAGAGGGGGGGGGGGAGAGAGAGAGAGAGAGAGAGAGAGAGAGAGAGAGAGAGAGAGAGAGAGAGAGAGAGAGAGTTTATTCTTTACAAGGCAGGAGGAACCGTTAGCTCAGTTGTGTCATGCTCGGCTTACCGCAGACGACCCTGGTTCGAATCCCTAACACCAAATTTTTGAAATTTTATTCTTTCGAGATTATTCATGGTTTCCAAGTAATCTTTCCGTCCCTTCGATACCGTCAACGTTGATTTATTTGCAATTTGTGCCTTATGAAACACTGGCTTACTATAGTTTTAGTAACGGGTTCGCAGGTTCGAGCCTCAGCTCGATCCGACGCTGTGTCCTTGGGAAAGGCACTTTACACAAGTTACCCACTTGGTTCCGTCCTTCCGGAGATTGGCGTTAAACGCGGGGGTCCCGCCTCTTAAATGACCTAACAGTGTTGATAGGGGTGTTAAACTGATACCATTTCACCAACCATTTAAACAATCTTAGTAAGAGTTTTACTGCACTTGCAATACAAATAGGTCATGTGTCAGACGTTAGAGATGTTACTTGGGATTGAGATACAAAGAAAAGGAGGAGGAGAGAAAAAGATAATACCGTAGGTGTTTGATATGAAAGAATGTGCAAACCTCGCCAATCACCCACAGGCTTACTTTATTTTTACTTTTTCCTTCCTCTCACACTGTTAGATGTCTCTGGGAGGTGCAAATGTTTTTCGGCCAAGAGTTAAGAGGATAGCTTCTCATCAAATACAGTATACTGGTATTGCCATGAAAAGTGTACTGGGCTAAAGTGTTTTATTTTACTCGCAAGTATTATTATTTTCTACCAAGAACAAGGTCTAAAGTCTTAAGTGCTTATGTGTGGTTATTTGAAGTATCACAATAAATCGTTTCTCTATACTGTCCTTTAAAGGCGTAGAAATGACAGAGAGGAACAACAGAACGAAAAAAATCAAGTCAGAAGTTTGTGAATGAACATTGTAGATTAATCCTTTGTAAAGCGACAGCAAGTTTGAGGCTGAGAGCCGATGATTGTTGTACCTAAAATTATCTCGCTTGTACAAGCTAAAAGAAAAAAAAATCTTTTTTCCGAAAACAACGGCAGCAA